GATATTGACAAAGATAAAGACTCATCAAAATAAAAAAAATTGAGATATAAAACATAAAAAAATAAAAAACAAATCAAAAAAAAATAAATTAAATTTAAATGACTTGGTTGCTTCATGAAACAGTTGTCAATCCACAAGGAGTTGAACATTCTATTATTGCTAAATTTACTGGTAAATATGAACAATTAATCACAAGTATTCGTAATCAATTTGTATGTTATGACATTACTCCTCAAGGACTTCAAGTTCGTTGTAAAGAAGTTACAGAAGCAAATATTGTTCAAATAGGAAATGTAGAAGTAAATCATGTAATGATGTTAGTTTTATTATTTAAAGAAGCTAAAGTGTCAATACTGAGATATGATGAAACAAACAATAAATTTGTTATTCATTCGTTACATTGTTTTGAACTTCCTCTAAAAAGAATGCAAGAAGGATTGACACCAACAACATATACTAACCCAAGATTATTAATTGATAAACGAGGGAGGTGTATTAGTTTAATTTGTTATGATAGATTGATGTGGGTTATTCCATTAGGATTTGAGTTTGTTGTTTTTTGATAATAAAATTATGTATTATAATAAAGAGCATTAATAATTACTAGTAAAACATCATATTCTATTAATTTAGAGAAATTTGGGATTAATAGAATTATTGATTGTATTGTTTTAGATGGGTATGATTTACCTTCGGTGGCTTTTCTTCATATGAAAATACCAACATGGGAAGGGTTTGTTAATAATATTATTAATTAAAAGAAGGGTTATAATTTTATTAATTAAATAGACGAATAGTAAATACAGGAGAAACAACTAATGAGATTATTGTATTATCATTAGAACCAGATGTTATTCACGAAAAACAAGATATTGTTGCAACAGTATCATATCAATTTTCATATGTTCCTTATAATGCATTACAAATTGTAGATTGTTATCCAACAAATGGAATTCTTATATTAACAATAAATAGTATTATTTATTTATCAACAACATCGTTTGAATCATTTATTCTTCCATTTGGAAAGTTTTTTGTAATACCAAAAAATAACAACCGACCATTATCTTCATTCCAAATTCTTCAAATGCAAACAAAAATTATGAATTCAGTTAAATCAATATTTAAATTAACGAATCATCTTTATATTATATTTTCTATGAATGGAGAAAGTTATTATGTTCATTTACTTTCTATTGCAAATAGAATCTGTGATGTTATAATTACTAATTCACCATATAAATATCATCCAACTACTTTTACTATTTCTTCAAATCATTTATTTATTGGAAGTACAGTTCATGATAGTTATATTTATAATTATGAAATTGTTGAATATGGAAAAGGTAAACAACATGAAATATCTCAACATATTAACCAAGAAATTCGTTCAAAAAATTTATTATTTAGACATAATGAAATGGAAGAAGAATATCCTTTTGATGAACCTCAACCAGTTTCTATTCCACAAGAATTAACAGTTGAATTCCCACAATTAGATTATATTGTTTCTATTTGTAATGTACATGAATATA